AGCTCTGTCTATCAGGCAGGTCTTAATGTGTGATCTTTTGCCTCAAACCTCTGAGTAGTTAGGATTATGGGCCTGTACCACCTAGTTTGACTTTATTTCCTTTTTTGGTAATTCTGGGCTGAATCCAGGGTTTTGTGCACTAGGTAATCCCTCTACCATTGAGCTGATCACTAGCCCTACAGTTTCTCTAAATGTTCAACATACTTTCCACATGACTCAATGAGTCTGCTCTAGGTCTGAATTCTAAAATTTGATGTGATCATATGAAGTTATGTATGCAAATATTATAAAGCTTTATTAAAAGTAGCCAAACTTATTAACACGTGTGCAGGTAAAACATTCATACACGGAAAACAAATAAGTCTTAAAAAGTAGCCAGATCTGGGGGCTAGAGTAAACTTGCTGTACAGGCATGAGTACCTGGGCTCAAATCCCTTGCACACATTTAAAAACCAGACATAAGCCAGGCATGGTAGTGTGCGCCTGTAACTTCAGTGCTGAGAAGTGGGGACAGGCAGATCCTGGGTGCTAACTTGATAGGCAGTCTAGGTAAATCTGTGAGACCCAGGCTCAGTCAGAGATCCTGTCTCAAAAAAGTAAATGGGGAAATAATTCAGAAAGCTATCCTAACACCAACTTTTGGTCTTAACTCATGCTTGCAAGAGCTAGTACCGGCTTATCCATACATGGAGGGATTAGTCATACATGGGGGAGTTAGTCATACTTTGGGGAGGTTAGTCAAGCAAGAGAGGCATGGGGGGAATAGAGAATATTTAGGGGCAACAGTTGGTGACAAAATTACTCATATGGATGCCCTGGCAAGTAGGAGGTGGTCGGGTGGCTCTGGGGTTGCAGGAGCACTGTGAAAGGCAGGAAGATAGCTCCCTGCATGAGCTACCTATCCCCACAGAGCTAGTGGGTAGGAACCTCTGCTCCTTGACATGTCAGGATCTCCTGTTTCTCACCATAATCCCACAGCCAGGGAGGATTTCATAGACGACAATTTTAGCAGATTGGCAATGGTCTTGTGAGTGTGGTCCTCACAGTGTCTATAGACCAAATGGCACTGGAGTAATGGCAGAGACAGGACACAAGGAACTCCCCTGGGCCCACTCCACCTCCCTGCAGGGTGATTCAGAGATCAGCATACCGTGTGCATACCTCGTCCTCATCTCACAAAAATGAATCCAATTACCACTTGGACAGACATAGGAGAGGATATATTTTCTTTTTTATTGTTATTTTTATTTAAATTAGAAACATGCATGCTTCAAATGTCAATCCCAGCTTCTACCCCTCCACCAGCCCCACCCCTACCCCCATCCCCACATTCTTCCCCAGGGAGGGTGAGGCCCTCCTTGGGGGAATCTCCAAGAGTCTGTCATTTCATCCAGGGCAGGACCTAGGCCCTTCCCCATGTGTCCAGGCTGAGAGAGCATCCCTCCATGTGGAATGGGCTCCCAAAGTTCATTTGTATGCTGTGGTGAACACTAGTCTACTACCCAAGGCCCCAGAGATTTCTGAGGCCTCCTCACTGACTTTACATTCATGGAGTCTGGATCAGTCCCCTGTAGTCCTCTTAGTCATCAGTCTTGGGTTCAAGAGCTCCCGCTTGTCCAGTCAGTTGTCTTTGTGGGTTTCACCAGCATGGTCTTGACCCCTTTGCTCATCACTCCTCCATCTCTGTTGCTGGGTTCCAGGTGGTCAGTTCAGTGTTTAGTTGTGAGTATCTGTCTCTGCTTCCATCAGTCACAGGATGAAGGTTCTAGGATGTCACATAAGGTAGTCACCAACCTTATCATCAGGTAGGGACTATTAATGTAGTCTCTCCGCTATTAATTAGTTTCCCAGTTGGTGTTATCCTTGTACATCTCTGGGAATCTCACTAGTGTCAGCTCTTTCCTCAAAGCTATAATGGCTCCAACCATTATGGTATCTCTCATCCTGGTCTCCTCTATTCTAACCCCAACTCAGCCTTCCTGCTTCTCCATGTCTTCTTCTCCCCTCCTCTTATCCCCCTCTCTTTTTCCTGGTTCCTTCTCTTCTTCCCCATGTTCCTAATCTGCTCAGGAGATCTTGCCACTTTCCACTTCTCTGGGGTATAATGCATATCTCTTGTGAATCTCCCTGTTTCTCAGACTCACTGGCCCTGGGATTGCAGGCTGACACTCCGCTGATCCATGTCTAAAATCCATATATGAGTGAGTACATACCATGTTTGTCTTTTTGTGACTGCGTTACCTCACTCAGGATGGTTAATTCTAGTGCCATCCATTTGCCTGCAAAATTCAAGATTCCATTGTTTTTTTTTCCACTGAGTAGTACTCCATTGTGTAAATGTACCACATTTTCTCTATCCACTCTTCAGTTGTGTGGGCATCTAGGTTGCTTCCAGGATCTAGCTATTACAAATAAAGCTGCTATGAACATAGTGGAACAGACATCCTTGTTGTATGAATAGGCATCTTTTGGGTATATGCCTAAGAGTGGAATTGCTGGGTCTTCTAGTGTTCTTATATTGCCTTTTCCCCATCACTTCTTCCAGTGGGTATAGAGTCTCTTCCTGTCCTGGTGTATAGGCGACCAGGGTTCCCTTTCAGGGGGTGCAAGCAAATCCATTACTTTCTGGCCTCTGCTCTCTGTCCTCTGCCCCAGTGTGGGCGGAAGTGGACCAGCTCTCTCTCAGGCTCCTGGTTGCTTGGTCATCCATGGGGGTGGGGGTGGGGGAGTTGACCTGGCTGCAGTCCCCAAGCGGGGGGGGGGGGGGGATATTCGAGAGAGGGCGGGCGTGTCACCTCTGCCCTCTGCCCTGGGTTTGGGGAAGTGGATCAGCTCTCTGTGCAGGCTCCTGGTCTTTTGGTTGTCCTTCCAGGGGAGGGAGTCGACCTGGCTGCTGTCCCCAAGCCTGGTGATCCGAGAGAGGGCGAGCAGGAGGAAATCGGGTCTAAGATGGGGGCTCGGTGCTCTCCTCTGGCCTCTGCCCCGAGTGTGGGCAGAAGTGGCCAGGATATATTTTCTTATTTATTTATTTGGATTCTTTTTCTTTTTTTCTTTTCTTTTTGGCTGTAGAGTACATTTTGCTTAGCTCCTCTTTTTAAAATATTTATCTATTATACATCCTGACCACAGTTTCCCTTCCCTCCTCTCCTCCCAGCGTGCTGTGTCACGCTGAAAATGGAGGGCAGATTTCCTTCGATGCCAAAGATGGATGAAATACTATCTTCAGGGTCAATAGCGAAGGTCTGGGGCCTTTATGTTTTCTCCAATTAATGTCCATGGTGGCTGAAACCTGGGAGCTTTAAGCTCTATATTCTTAGGGATTGTTTTCTGCCTCCATAACTATGTGCAAACTCAGTCTCCATAGTTTTGTCATAAGGAGGAGGAGTCTTAGGGTTACTATTGCTGTGACCAAACACCACAATTGAAGCAACTTGGGGAGGATAGAGATTATTTGGCTTATACATCAAAGGAAGTCCAGGAATTCAAACAGGGAAGGAACCTGGAGGCAGGAGCTGATGCAGAGGCCATGGAGGAGAGCTGCTTACTGGCTTGCTCTTCATGGCTTGCTCAACCTGCTTTCTTATAGCATCCAGGACCACCAGCCCAGGGATGGCACCCTCCCTGATTGATTACTAATTAAGAAAATGCCTTATAGACCCATAGCAGGCTCTTCTGGAGGCACTTTGTCAGCTGAGATTCCCTCCTTTCAGATAACTCCTAGCTTGTGTCAAGCCAGCACAAAGGAGTGTGTTGAGGTGAGTCCCACCACAAGGACAACATCTTTGGGAATGGAATTGGTGCTATGACTTATTTGTTTTTAATTTTTGTTAGATTCTTTATTGATTATTTGGGAGTTTTACATCACACACTGCAATTATGCTTACCTCCTGGTCCCCCAATATCCTCCCCTCACCCCTACAACACCCCCACAAACAAAAACAAAACCAAGTAAGCAAGCATGCCAACTAACAAAAAAACCAAGAACAAGCAAACCAAAAAAAAAACCTCCCCCAAACAACCCCCCAAACAACAAAAAACCCCAACAACAACCAAAAACCTCTTGGCTTTTCCTTCTTTTCTGCCTCTCCAGCACATCTTCATTCATCCTGGTGACACTGGGGGCATTGGTGTGTCACATAGTATACACTTTTGTCCTATCAGCTTTACTAGTAAGTGTTCATTGCAATGAGTCACTGGTCTGGTTCAAGGCCTCTGGTTTCTGCTATACCATCATCACTGGATCTTCACCAGAACTCCTCTGGGCTATTCTATGACCGCACCGAGTCATAGAGACCCTGGGGTATCCTTCTACAGGACCTGTCTTTTCACAAGCTCCAGCAGGTCCTAGATGGGGTAGAAGCTGGAGTGGGCCATCCCAAGGCTACATGAAACTTGACAAGAGATGTATTGTCTAATTATAAGTCATAACACTGGGATAGTGGGAATACATCCACCCCACCCTCACCCCCACCTGATGGAGCTCCACTCAGATGGGGACTAGCCACCTGGCATCCAAGCCCTGACTGGTGGGAAGACATCCATGGGCCCACCCATGAGTCTCATTGTGATAAGCAAATGTGATGGAGAAATGGGAGAGGAAGTGAAGGGGAATGGTTCATGCACTGTGGAAAGAGGTGGAAAAGAAATGAAGACAGTAAGGAGTGGCTTCATGTGCTAGAAGCTGCATGGTGGTAATACTGAGATGTGATAGAATCTCTATGAGATGGGGCCTGATGGGATGTAATTAGGTCCTGAATTCACTGGTCTTGACATAAGCCCCTGGGTTCCCGCTGTTAAATACTGTGGACAGCCCATGTGTTTTCTCTTTTCTGCTCTCTGTATGTTTGAGGCAGTCCAGCCAGTTCTCATCCGTGTACCATTAGGTGAAGGTATCCATCTTAGAGTTTTCTGTCTTAAAACTGAGTTTAGAGAAAGTCTTTCTTTTTTAAAAAAGTATTTTATTGTTTGTTTGTTTACATTTATTCCCCTGTGTGTGTGTGTGTGTGTGTGTGTGTGTGTGTGTATGCACCATAGAACCACAGAACATATGTGAAGGCCAGAGGACAATGTGGGAAGTCAGTTCTTTCCTACTGTGTGGGTCCTGGGGATCAAATTCATGTTGTGACACTTTATGGCATGTGCCCTTGACTGCTGAGTCATCTTGTTATCTCAGAAACTCTTCCTTTTATGAATTATTGGCTCAGATTTTGTTATAATAAAGGACAAGCTAATATGGGGCTTGTATGAATGGGGCCTGTAGGAACTTGTTTATAAGAATTGAGCCTGTGGGAATTTATTTGTACGAATGGGGCCTATGGAAACTTGTTCGCTGTCTTATGGTGGGAAGGGCAAAGTGCTACCCACGATTCTGAGAGTAATTCCTTGTTAGATATCAAATTGGGTGCCACCATCACCAGAGCTTTCAGCTTCTAGATAGCAATGAATTTCTGTTGTGCTGAAGCCATCCCACTGTGATAATTGTGTGATTAGCTCCACAATGAACTCTTGGGGCTTTTAGTATCTGCTTTTAAAATTTGTCTCTGCTGAGATGTGAAAAAGGTATTCAGTCATGAAGGTTAGTGAAATCCTCTCCGAGGAACATCACTAGTAGTGGGAGGTCTGAGAAGAGAAAGGAGAGGGAAGGAGCTGGAAGAAAGTGAGTGGGTGAGGGAGGGAGGAAGGGACCCTTGCCTACTGTAGCAGGGAGGAAGGGACCCTTGCCTACTGTAGCAGGGAGGAAGGTGTTGTCTATTGGGACTCACTTGTCATTAGCCACCTGTATGTTTGGTGTGTGTAACAGAGGTGACCCATATCAGGCTTAGCAGGGAACATATATCATGTAGAGGAGACTTCATAATTGTTGGGTTGTATGAGCTTGATGACTACATATAAGTGTGGATCCTTTCTATCTCTTCTAAAGGTGTTTGGAAACCTCAAATAAACCCACTTGAACCCAGGATGAACTGCAACTTGACTCAAGGCGCTACAGCTCTCCATGACTGTCTTCAACCTCTTTTAGCTCCTGGATCTTCTGGGGTAGAGTCTTGGTCCAGAACTGCACCCGGTTTGCCTTCAGGGCCCGGCCTACAGTAGGCTGGATGTCCAGCTGCAGGTACTGCTCATTATGGTCAAACATGGGCCAGGTGGGCAGGCCTTTACTGTTGGGGTTCCTGTGGACAAATCCTCCCAGTAGGGAGATCAAAAGTTACTTTAGGCTCTGCTGAACTTGGGCCATAGCCTCTGATTTGGGTCAGGGTCTAAGAAGTTATGGAATTATGGGAATTTAGAGGCAGGTGTACTGATGTAGGAAAATAGGATATTACTGTCCGTTTCATGAGGAACCAAGATACCTGGCCTGATTTCCCCCCTCCTTTCAGAGGCCTGCTCTAAAGAACGGTACCACAACACCACAGCTCTGCATCTATGTCACTGGGTGATGGTCAGCAAACAGCACCTACAATTGTCTAAGTGGATCCTGAGGTGGGGACGAGGCTATCATGTGATGAAAGACCCCATGATTTCTAGTGAGACCACTAACCACAAGGGCAGCCCTGGATGTCAATCAATTCCTTAGAGGTTAGGGAAGGGGCGTGTTCTCACCCATGTCGTGCAAAGTTGGCCCAGTACTTCATCATCCTCCTGCTCAGCAGCTCCTCCTCCTCAGTGAGGGCGACTGCAGAGAGGAGGAGTTTAAGGGTCTAGACTCCTGCTTCCCATGCAGCTGGTCACTCATCTCAGCTCTAGCTTACTCTTGGGCCTAGTCCCTTCCCTTCCTTTCCTGCCACCCATAACTCATTTCCTGCACCTGCACATTCTGTCTTACTCATCTCAGACTCCAATTTCTACCCCCTCAGGCTCAATCATGCCCCAGACTGTCCTCCTTCCTTGTGATCAAAAGAAGTTGGGGGTAATCATGCCTTTTGAATACCCTTCTTACAGCAGGAGTTGTAGTGCTCGCCTCTAATGTTGGCACTTAGAAGACTGAGAGCAGAGAACTGTCATGAATTATGGGCTACACAGGACGACCTTGCCTCAAAAAGTTAAAACAAGCAAATAAAGAAGTAGTATAAAATAACCCGTTCTTTCACCATGCCTTATCCCATGGCCTTTGCAGGTAGGGACAAATGGAGGAAAAACAGGCAGGAGTGGAAAGGGGTTGGGCTTCTAATCTCACATCAGCCTTTTGAAACGCATCATGGTACACAAGCCATGCTGTCTTTACTCTGAACCTCAGTTTCCCCATCTGAATATGCCTGAAGGCCTGCAGCCTGGCGAATAAAGATGACTCACCTTGGGTGCCTCCCCAAAATGATCTGAAGATAAAGAGAATCTCATCACCATGGTCGGCCTTTACACTGGATGGCTTGGAGTCCTTGAAGAAGTTGGGCCGATGCTGGAACTCATAGAAGAATACAGGGGCATGGGAACCTGGAGGCAAGGACAGGCTGAGAAAGGGATCCTTGCCTCAGGATGCCCTTCCTCAACTGCGATGACAAGATAGCTAGCTGGATTGAGGGACAAAGCTGGATAGAGTTTGGATAGTATGAAACCCCATGATGGAGCAGAGGCTGAGGGAGAGACTTGGTTAAATCATGGTCTTGGAAATCTTTGCTATGCACTCTTATGATATTATTGTCATTTAGATTCCTCCCAAGTAAAATTGGGAAGGTTTCTATGTCTTAGACAATTCCCAAGAACTTATTTAGATGAGGGACATTAAGCATTAGCTATCAGAGGTCCAATATAGACATGGGTAGGGATCTGGACACCCCAGAGTTCAACAACACCACAACTTGAGCTGCCTCTAGGCATCAGGCCTCAGTTCCAGATGTACTCACGCTGAAAATGTGCTACTTGCAGTGCAGGGATCACAAAGATGAAGTCTTCCATCATCTCCTTGAACTGCACTTGGAGAAGCTGAGGGTCCTCATTGTTCCCCATGTACTCCTCCATCAGCAGGTCACTAAATTCAGGAGGCCACATCTACCCAGAGGGATAAAGAAGAGTCAAGTTAGACAGGTCCTGGGGCAGTGAGGCCAGAGCCTCAAGATGAACAGTTGGGCCCAACATCAGACAAGTGAAATCAAGAAAGGTCCAGTTCTGGGGACACTCAAGCCACCAGTGCCATCATGATTCATTCTTTGTTCCTGCTGTTTGTTGCATGAGCAGGATACCATGCAGGTGCCCTTTGTTTTACTTACAGTACCCCAGAAGCCTCACCATCTGTGCTGCCCTTCTCTGCAGAATAGCTTTTACAGTCTGTCTGTCTATTTCCTTCTGGGAGTCAGTGGTGCTTATGCTCTAAGTGGTAAGAGGAGAGAGTCTGTGTTGTGGTCAAGATCACATGGAGCTATAGGGTGGTGCGATGATATTAATGATTTATTAAAGCTTTCCTAAATATCAGAGAAGCAAAGCAGCCATGTCAGTAGATCTTACCTCTACCAAGCTGAAATGGCAATCCTGTCTCCACAAATCTTCAGAGACAAAAGATATCAGTTCCTGTCTCCTCCTGCCTTATATTCCTTTCTCTGTCCAGCCATATCACTCCCATTTCCACCTGCCTAGTGCTGGGATTAAAGGTGTTTGATCCCAAGTGCTGGTTTGAAAGGTGTGAACTCTGTTATTCTTCACTCTTGTGTAGGCCAGGGTAGGATCTCTTGTATGCAGAGAGATCCATCTGCCTGTCTCTTGAGTCCTAGGATTAAAGGTGAGTGTCACCACTGCCTGGCTCTGTGACTTGCTAGTATGGCTGCTGGGATTAAAGTTATGTACCACTGGCTCTATAGCTTGTGGTTGGCTTTGCTTTCTGAACCCTCAGACAAGCTTTAATAAGTCATATATAATATATCACTACAGGGTGGGCTTCCCAGAGACAAAGGGCCTTGGACCTGGGCTTACCGAGGGGATGATCCAGCCATACTCATCATTATTGACACCAATAATGCTGGGGACAAATTGGAAATCAGCAGAGGCCAGCAGCTCCTCGGGATGCCTGGGCAGGAAGATACCATCTACTACACCAGGGATGATCTTGAAGGCCTGCAGAGACATTGGTTGTTAAGGAGGAAGGCCATCAGATCCTTGACAATTCTTATGTTAGGCTATAATCGCCTACTCCTGTCTGTTTCATCCAGGATTGTCACACTCAGTCTATGAGGTCCTACAGCTGGTTTACCATATCCTGGTGTTCAGATCTCTTCCTGGGTTCTAGGTTATGAAGGATGGATTGAAGTAATTGTCCAGGGGGTTGAAGGCTACCAAGAATAGGCCATCTTATTCCCTGTTGCCCCTCCATCCTACCATTCATTCCAACCTTGTTAACTGCCATAATCTCCTCTTCACTCTTGTCTCGTAGACAATTCACCAGAGCTTCTGAGTCCATCTGCTCACATCCAGACAGGTTGGCAACCATCTAAAAGGCATCAGGCATGGGATGGCCAAGACATCAGGCAGGGAAGTATTTTTCCAAGGTCCCACCTGGGTTCAGGTGTCCCGCAAATCTCATAAGGCACATATGTATGTAGATTATGGCAGGTGTGAAATTATTTCTGTTTCCTTGATGATTACAGGTAACAGCCAGAGGAACTAACACACCCGATGACATGCTTTGATTATAACACCAGGAATCCCCAACATGGCTTTATGGGCTCCAAAGCCGGTGTGAGGCGGGAGTAGATTTTAACCTTTAGCTCTTCAGAAATTCCTGTACAGGAGGCAGCTGCCTAGGTTCCTCCATGGTCCCTGTCCACATTGGTCAGGCAGAGAACCAGGGTTTCTGAGGGTGAAAACTGAGGTGGCAGCTCAGTGGTGGGGTGGCTGGGGGCACTCACTCTGTAGATTACTTCAGAGGATTTTGAGATGAGGCTTGGCATCAGGGCCACCCCACTCTCCATGATGGCTCTGTGGAAGAGTCCTTGTGACATGGGGGACACAACATGTGCAGACACACTAGTGCCTCCTGCAGACTCCCCAAAAATAGTGACTCTGTCAGGGTTGCCTCCAAAGTGGGCGATGTTCTGCTGAACCCAACGTAGGGCAGCCACTTGGTCCAGGTAGCCCCAGTTTCCTCTGGCATGCTTGTCTCCAGTGCTGAGAAGTGGAAGAGACAGGAATCACAGGGCTCTCTTTATTCTTCTGAGGCCACCTTGCTCAACCCAGCCCAGCCCCAGACTCACCTGAAGAAGCCTAGGATACCCAGGCGGTACTGGATAGTGACCACCACCACATCCTCCATGGCTGCCAGCATGGATCCATCATACAAGGAAGCCATGCCTATAACCAGTGCACCACCATGGATCCACACCATCACCTGGAGAAGTCAAGATAGGTGCCATGTGTCTCCCATATATCCCAACTGGGCTTCCCTTCAGAGCTAGCACAACTTCTGCTTTAAGTAGCTGCCCACATAGACAAATGCCCAATTGGAATACTGACATTTCTATGGGTGAGGGGTTCAAGTGCAGTCATGGACGCAAGCCTTCCTCTCTGTTTGGAGTCTACTACAGCATCAAAGCCTGACTGCATTATTCTCAGAAACTTTTATGGGGGATTAATAGGGATATTTCCTTCATTATGTCCCATGAAAATTAATAAAAATGTTTCTTTTAAAAATGTTTTTATTTTATGTTTAATTGGTGTTTGTCTGCATGTGTGTCTGTGGGAGGGTGTCAGAAGCCCTGGAAAGAATTGCCGTTACAGATGGGTGTGAGCTGACGTGTAGGTGCTAGCAATTGAACCTGGGTCCTCTGGAAGAGCAGCCAGTGCTCTTAACCACTGAGCCATCTCTCCAGTTCCCAAATATGTTCTTAAGTCTCATCAATTCAATGAAAATCAGTGGCTAGGTCGTTGGCAAGTTCAAAGTGCAGCTGTTGTGCATTCAATATATCTAGATGCACGTTGGTAGTTGCTTAGATTACAGGAAGAGAGCTCTCGTCAGCGTTCACTGCAGCATGGCCCAGGTTGATCTAATCTTTCTCTAGAAGAAATGTCCTCTTACCCCAGAATGAGCATGACTTGACACTCACAGGTAGGTTGGAACCTTCATGGGCATGATCTGGTGCATAGATGTTAAGGTACAGGCAGTCCTCAGACATGGGGATGGGAGGCAAGGTGAGCTTCAATAGCTTAAGAGCCTGCATATTCATTGCTGTGATGTCCTGCAGACACCTGGTGACCAACCGTGACAGACAGTCAGCCCCAGGGCATAGGGTACCCAGAAATAGACCCTCAGGAAAATACGCTTGCAGATATCCCTATGCACTTCCTTCCTGATGTCTTGCATACACAGATGGTTCTCTAAGTTCCTGCCCATCAAGGCCAGACTATGGTCTCTGAAGAAGCTGAGATGGAGCCCAGACTTCCAGTAACACCTCAAGGTTGCTGAGGGGCTTGGATCCTATTCTTCCTGAGGGTGGGAAATCATGACCCTTTTGATAACCTTTGGTTGAAGGCATTGACATTCACCATTTCTCCTTCTAGCCAACCAGTTCTGGAAGAGGAAAGCCGTGTCACACTGCAATTCATGAATGAGTGGAGGCCAGTTTCCCATAGGCCAGTGGGAACCTTCCTCATTCCAAGTCCAGACTTTTGGGATCCTCATCTCTTCCATAATGTCCAGGTAGAAGAATATTGTGACATCTTGAATGTCAATTTGATGAGATTTAGAATCACTATGGAAACACTCCTCGAGACTTGTTTGTGAGGGTGTTTCTATATTAGGTTATCTGAGATAAGAAGACATGGCCTAGAAGTGGACAGTACTACTCTGTTTGCTGGGGCCTTGAACTGAATAGAAAAGAGATAGGACGTTGAGCATCATCATCCATTTCTCTCTCTCTCTCTCTCTCTCTCTCTCTCTCTCTCTCTCTCTCTCTCTCTCTCTCTGCTTCCTCCATATTGGTGCAAGGTGATGTGACAAGTTACCTTATGTTCCTGCTGCCATGACTTTCCTCCTTGAATTATATAACAAAGTAAACTCTTTGTTGTTAAGTTGCTTTTGCCATGCTTTTGGTCCCAGCAATAAGACAAGTACCTAACATACACATATACTTATTTCTTTTCCTGTGACATCTAGCCCAGAAGGGCACAGTGGCAGTGGAAGGTGGAATTTTCAAGGATTTATCATTGTCCTCTTCAAGGACCTAGTTTCTGATGCTGTTAATTGGGGATCTTACAGGTTCTAAGAGTCAAACCAAAGTTCTCCCAGAGATCCTTCCTTGGCTGTCAGAGAACACTAGAAATAGTCTGATCAATGCCATCCAGATGATAAGCCCTGAACTAAGAGGTTGGCAGAGTCACCTCACTCATTTAGTATTAGCAAGTTCTGAAAATACTCTTGTAATTCCCCTGCATAGGGGGAAAATGCTATGGGTTTGAGATGAGGAACTACTGCTATCTGCCCCAGACTTCCCAGTTCTCATCAATCCCAGGGCCTCAGGAGAACTTACATGGCCGGATAGGAGGTCCCATTCCTCATTCCACTCCACAGTTCAGGTGGCTCCGGGGGCACAAAGCGCAGTGATCCTATCGGTGGCTTGGCAAAGGGAATTCCCAGGAAAGTGTGGACACCCACATCTAGGCCCTTCATGTGGACCAGGCTGCCTTGTATCTGGCCTGTGTGTGTGGTCCTGATGGGACTGGCTGAGTCCTGGCCTGTGGATGGAGAGGTAACATCAGGGTTGAGCCTGCACAATCAGCTGCTACCACAGTAAGATCTTTTTCCTGACTTCCTTGTTATCCTCAGCTCAGCCATTTCCAAGGACCAAGGACAGCAAACATCATTTTCATACACTTATGGTTTAGCTCAGTGGCCTCATGTCACTACTGTTCATGACTCTTGAGTATTGAATGCTAAGATTTGTGTATACATTGGGAGAACTCTGAATAATGAAAAACCACTGAAGTGAACCCTGAAATGGGTAGTTATGATATTTCAACTGTATCTCAAATGTTGTGATACAATGGTGACCTGATTGCAAATTATGCTGATGCAATAGTAGCCCACCAGTTGTGGGAGTAACCAACTATTACTGTCATATTGGATTTAAGGCACACTCTATGAGATGGGACACATGCCAGAAACTGTTTGGGTGGCCTAGAACCTGAGACTAGATAGCCTAGGGACCTAGTGGAAAGCCAAATTCTATTCTTCAGAAATGTAGCAATAAAATGATTCCTAATGACATTCAATTATACGCATCATTAGAGAAGCTTCCTTCTGAAGTATGGGAACAAATATAAAGACCCACAACTGTACAATGTGCAGAAAGTGAGAGACCTTGGAGCACTCAGTACTAAATGGTATGTCTCCATCAAATATCTCCCCTCAGGGCTCAGGAAACTCTGCAGGAGAGTAAGCAAAAAGGTATTAAGTGCTAGTGGGGATGAAAGACACTAAGGAAACAAGGCCTTCTGGACACAACAGGACTGCCACATATACGAACTCAGAGACTGTGGTAGCATGTATAGGGTCTTCACAGGTCTAAGCCAGATGGAGTCTCAACACTGAGAGGGGGAGTAGACACAAGCCCCTATCTTTAACCCAGACACTATCGCCAATGATAATCACTCACAGAGGAAAAAAAAAAGCTTTCTCCAATGGAGTCCTATTGGACATATAAACCACACTTAAGTGCAGGCTCCACACCTAGCAGTAGATATCCAACACAAAAATGAACGCAATGGAATTTTTGTAATAGTTTTCCCTCTCATAACTCTCTCTCTCTCTCTCTCTCTATATATATATATATGTATATATATATATACACATATATATATATATTACAGGTCTTTTGCTTATATACTATAGTTTCCAGTTTTGTGCTTTTATGGGATTTCAGTGTGTTTGAATATATGTGTCTTTGTGTCTGTATGTGTTAGGTGTTTTCTTTGGCTCTCACTTTTCCTGTTAGTTTCTTTTGTCATAATAATGTTTGTTTTAAGAATAACAAAACAACAACAATTAAAATCATCATTATTGTCGGGCGGTGGTGGCGCACGCCTTTAATCCCAGCACTCGGGAGGCAGAGGCAGGCGGATCTCTGTGAGTTCGAGGCCGGGTTGGACCGATAGCCCCCAAAACAATACAGAGAAACCCTGTCTCATAAAAAACCAAAAAAATCGTCATTATTATTAGATGCCTGTTTGAGAGAGAAAGTGAGCAAAAGGGTGTGGATTTGGGTGAGTAGGGAGGATCTGGAAGGAGTTGGGGGATCGGAAACTATAATCAGAATACACTGCACAAAAAAATCTAGTTTCAATAAAAATTAAAACGTCTTGATCTTTAAATCTTAATTAAACACTTTGTATTAATATCATTTGGAATAGGAATATTTACAGCAATTGGCTAAGCTGAGTATGAAGGCACAGCCTGAAATCCCAGCAGCTCTCATGGGTCTGTAGGATGACGATGGAGAGTTTGAGGCTACCTGGGCCACACTACCCAGACCCTGCATCAATCTTCCCCAACCTTGAAGCACCAGAATGTGCTTGAAGTGTATACCAGTGTTCCAGTGCTTTCCAGTATTACAAGAGGCCTTGATTATTAACTTCTAGGACCACAGAAAGAACAAACAACCCCACCACACCCAAACATGTTTTGGCTGGGCAAGATGGCACCTGCTTGTAACTCCATCGCTTTGAGGGCTGAACCAGGAGGATTCAAATGTTTGAGGTCATACTTGGCTATAGATGAGTTCCAGATTAGCTTGGGTTACATAGATAGACCTGGTCTAAAACATAAATCAACAACAACAACAAATCTGAAGAATCCACAAGCATGCATAGAAGACAAAAAATTTGAAAAGAAAATTGATTATAGTGAGAATTAACTGTTGAAATATCTATTATCTATCTAACCTGTCTGTCTATAATCTATCTATAATTGCTTAGTTTTTCCTTCTTTCCTATGTCCCCAGAGAATGCTACTGTATGTGATAATGGCAAAAAGAATATGATGCAATCCAAGTACTTCTAGGTTGTGACAGACTGGAAATAGTTGAAGATGGATTTTGGACACTGCAGTTTCATTAAACATTTCTTCAAATCCTAGGATATGTCAGTCCTCCATGCTGTGTAGGACTTAAGCACCTCCAGCCCACTATGTGCTTCAGGGTGGGGGGAGATGTATCCTTGTAGGGTACCTTCCCTTGCTATTGTTTTCTCCTCAACCACTCACTTCTCTTGGCCCTTCTGTCTAGTTTTCTGTTTCACTCGTATAGAATTGGCTGATCTAAGCCAGGATTTACAGGGGGAAGCTAAGGACTCAGGGAACTATTGCTGCATCACACTCATTATAGTTCTGCAGGGATCAACCAATTTCAAGTGCCCTGCTAAAAGAAAGGCCAGAACTGGCAGCCACTCACAGGTGTAGAGAGGGCAAGCTTGTACTGTCTCTCTGCTGTGGTTTGTTTGCCAACAGTGGCAGCGCTGAGGTGGTAGATCTGTAGAGAGGCAGGATAGTGGAGGGTGGTTGGATCAGGGCTGGCCTTGAAAAGGCTTTATGCTGGTCCTTTGGAGTTAATTTAATCTCACAGTAGTGGGCTACTTCTTTTGAGAGTGACAGCAGATTGTAATCACAATCTAGCTTGACCCCTCTCCTCTCTATTGGTTGATGCCTGTGCATTTCGTTCATCCATGGAATGTCATTGCCACATGTTGTGACAGGGCTCAAATGCCATTACCAGAAGCTCACCAGAGAGTTTCACTCATCATGGATTTTCTGTCTTCAATGCTATGAATTAAAGAAGCCTTTTTAAAATACAGTATCCAGTGTTGGCTATTTTGTAATAGCAATACAAAACAAGCATGTTGTTGCTCCGTAACAATAACTGAAGTTATAAAAATGGGATTTGAACACAATAGTGGCAAAATATATGAAGGGTTTGGAGGGACAACCTATAAGAGTTCTATTTTACTGTAAAGTAACTATTATAAGTTGTTATGGTGAGGCATCTGATGACAAAAGACTAGGAAAGATCTTGCAGTTCATAGATGGGTTACATGGTCATGTCCAGAATGTTGCCAATAACAACGCTGACAGGAAAGAATACTAAGAAAGTCCCAGGAGAAAGTGAGAATTGGTGTCATGTATTATGAAGATACCGAGTGCATTGCACCCACACTCTAAAGTACACAGAAAGCCAACTTTAAGAGTGATACCCAAAAGCGTAAACCATATTAGGAACTATGGGAGTCTTCTGGACCATATTCAGTGAAATTCACAATAATCACTGGAGAGGGAGGCAGATCTTATGAATCTGAAAATTCACATCATATCCATGTGAAGAGCAAAGAGGACTTTGGTAAGAATGCTAAGGCACAAAAGAAAAGATGGGTAGAAGGAAGCCAGGCTCAGAGGAATGACCTGAACAATGAGAAAGGCACCCTGGAGACTTCACAGAAATCCTCCATTTTGCAAGCATCTTCCTCTCCTAACCTTGTTTCACAAGCAGAGAGGCTGGAGGTTTAGGGCCTGGGTGCACTCCATATGCTTCTTGTTCAAGGTAGCTTTAGGATTCTGCTTCTTACATTGTGGAATAATGAAAGTAAATCTGCTCTAGCCATGGCAGAACCAGTCTAGGATGGACTCTTGACACTGCCCCAAAGGGGTTAAGCAGCATATCTTGGGGGATTTACCTGGTACTAATATGTTGCATACATAATTCAAAGTGGTAGCAGGTTTACTGAGATTTCTAAGAAAATTGTGGGAGGCTCTACCCCAGCAGCACTGCCAAAATTTCTCACCAGAATGCTGTGTGAGCTGTGGGGGTGGGACCATGGCTTTTGAGATTCCAGGACTGTGCAAATACAGGCAATTGGCAGCATCAGCCTATGAAAGCCAGGAGGCAAAATTATGCACGTTGAGAGAGCAACTAGGTAGGCTGCAGCCAGAATGCTGGTTTGAATGAGAACGGTCTCCATAGGCTCAGATATTTGGATATTTGATCCCCAGTTGATGGCTCTGCTTGGATACTTTTGGAAGGCCAGGCCTTGCTGGAGGAAGTCACTGAGGATAGAGCTGTGAGGTTTCAAAAACTATGCCCAATTCCCAGTTTCTCTCTGTTGTGGTTTGAGATGTAAGCTCTCAGCTGTATCTGCGGCTGACTACCATGCTATCCTCCCCATTCTGGACTTTTGTCATTCTGGAACCGTAATCCCGATTAAACATTTCTTCCTTAAGTTGCCTTGGCTGAGGTGTTTCATCACAGAAATAAAAAAGTAACCAATACAGCAAGCAGTGTCACATGATAGGTGTGAGGGCACATGAGTCCCTGTGGCCCATTGCCTGCTCTCATGGGCATAGCATGCTGGGGAGTTTTGAGTTTTGAGAATCTACCTCTCTTGGTTGGTCCTTGACACCCGTTTCTATTTGCCTGTTCATCCTTTTTGCATCAGGAATGTCCTAGTTTCTATTTGTTTGAAGACACCAGGACTGAAGGGAACTTAGAGAAGAAAAGGGTTTATTTCATAGATTACAGTTCTGAAGGGAAGGCAGGGCAGGAATTCAAGGCAGTAGCTGAAGCAGAGACCATGGAAGAATATTGTTAGTTGATTTTGTTCTCCTTGGCTTGCTTAGCCTGCTTTCTTATAATGAAGGACCACCAGCCCAGGGGAGTTGTTACTCATGATAGGTTAGGCCTTCTGACATTAATAATTAATTAAAAAATGTTCCCACAGACTTGCATACAGGCCAATCTCCTGGAATTGATTTCTCGGTTGAGAGCTCTTTTTCTCAGATGTCTAGGATTGTGTCAGCTTGACAAAAACCAGTCAGCACAACATTAATTTGTAAAACTATTAAACTTGTTTTTTTTTACTTTAAAGGATTTTAGCTAGAAGAAGTATTCCTTGAAATTCAGATGGTACTTGGGACTTTCAACTTTGGAATCATGCCCACAGGAGTTGAGTCTTTGGCTGACAGCATGGCATGTTCATATTTTGCACTGTGAGAAGGACATGAACCAGGGGCCAAAATGGAATACACTGATTTGTATATGTCTCATACCCCAAAGATTCATATATTGGATGCTTACTGTAGGGTGCTGCTACTGAGGTTGTGGAACCTTTAAGAAATATGGTCTAGTGGGAGGTGACTGAGTCATGGGAACCCTCATACAGGGATTACTGCTGGATTTTGAAACAGGTTAGGTCTTGTGGTGAGAGTGAGCAGCTGTCAGACAAGAGTGACTATGAACATTCCCAGGGTGCATTGCTTCTTTTACCATGAGATCTCTCTCCCGTGTACACCTCCTGTGAAATGCCATTGGCATGTTGTGACATAGCTAGAAGACCCTGAGCAGAGCCTCACTAGAGTGAGCCACCTGATAATAAATTTTCAAACTCTAAATTGCAATCTGAACAAGGACTGTTCCTTTGGCCCTTATGTGGCTTCAGGAAGTTTGGCATGGCTATCCAATCCACTAAGATATCCAAGTCAAAAGGCACCTTCTACTCTGTCACATGCTGCTGACACAGTGTTTCATGGGGAATGAGATCTCTGTTCATGGGTTTCACTTCAGTTACCAGCTACTGAGGCCTCATGTCCATCGTTACATCAATGGACAAGAATATGATACAGTATTCATGATTTTAGATTTGTTGCATTAACTGATTTTGTTTGAAGTGAAGCCTCCCATTGAATGGTACTAGGGAGTTCCAACATGTGGTAGCGTGAGGTGATCTCCTTGCTAGGAAGAGTTAAATTGTGGTGACAGAAATGGAGTGGATTTGTAAGTATTTTGGTTGAAATCAAGGGTTAACAGCTCTATCTATTCTTAGACAAACTCCTGAAACCTGTGTATAAGTCCAGGGACCTTATGTTTCCTGTAGAAGAACCAAGAGTTGATGAGACAGAAGAGGTGGATCCATGTTTGTGCTCTCCTGTGAGTTGTTAATGGTGCTTCCTGGTATGGGCTCAACTCAACCTCTATTTAAAATGGGAGCCATTAGGGAGTGTAGGCAGATCTCTTACCTGGAAGGTCCTGGTGACTTTTGAGAGCAATGTCAAATGAGGTGAGGGAGAAAGGCCTTTGGAGGTAAGGCATGACGAATAGGTTTATGGAAATTGGAAACTTGGAAAAGGTTGGCAAGACTTAGTCCCTTCAGGAAGAGCCCTTGAGAGGAGAGAATGATGACTGAGGTGCGTGTTCAGGAATTCTATCCACTTAACTCCAAATAAGGTGGAAACTACTTGGCAGGCACAGAGTTCTGTCATCTTTCTCCTGGATGCCAAGTCACACAGCCGCCTTAGGCCAGGACAAATACATGATGTAAAAAAGCACCCTGGGACCTCTCAGAATCAATTTCAGGTGCTGGATTGAGCTCCTGTATCCTCAAGTGTAAGAAACTTTACTTGAAAACTTCTGAGAAGGCCATGCTACTCCTCAGGCCAAGGAAATGATACATCAGAGTCAAATGGCCATGGAGGGTATCTTCATGCTGTTTAGGTTGTGCATATAGCTCCAGCCGTAAACCTAGGAGTGATTGTCCTGACTCCCTATATAGAGGCTGCTTGTTGTCTGGCATTGCTCATCTGTCATTCCTCAAAACCCCCTCCTTCTGAGCTCCTTCCTTGAAGGTTGGCATCCTTAGGTAGCCTCTCTGCTCTATGGCTTGGGGGGCCCACTCTGACTCTTGAGGGATGCAAGGTTCCAGAGCAGTGAACTCCACCATTTCAGTCCTCCATTGCTCATTTCCTCCCCTAGTGTCCTCTCTGACTCTGCACAATGTAGCAGCTCCGACATGGTTCCCACAACTCCCACGAGAGCCTCACCCTGAACTTGGAGGAGAAGCAGGAACCCACAGGCCACAGTGGTCAGCTGGGTGAGAATTTGTTCCAGTTCCATGGTTGGTACACAGGAGTGTGCCTGAATCCTGTAGGGCAAGTTAGGCTTTACTGGACAGCACAGGAGGAGCAGAGCTGGAGTTTGGACCCAGCAGAGTGTGGGTGGGGCTCTGGGCAGGGCCTGGGAAGTATGTGCTGCAGGGGAACAACACTGAACAGGCTGGCTTGTGAAATCACTATCAGCAGACAGGGACTGTCATCACCTCCACACTTTCTGTGTTTTTCTGGCCTCCTCTGAAGGTGCATGAGGCATCTGCAGCCCCTTAAATACAGTTACCTGCACCTGAAACCTGCAGTCTTTAAGTTTACCCGGTGACAGTCACAGGTCCAAACATAACATTGGGGATGAAAGGACAGAGTGAAGCTGCTGTAAGTGGAGACTCAGAAGGGCTCCTCTGAAGTGACACACCTTCAGTGAGAACGGACATGCCTATTATGGGGTGAACAGACTGGAAGAGCAAATACATGAAACCATAACTTTCCCCTTAACCCTGAACATTCCTTAGTTTCTGGAATCCTGATTTACTTGGTTCCCTGCCATGGTCCCTTAATCCTCATAGTCATGGTCTGAAAATCTGTATGGATTCTTTCTTCTTCTCATGGACAATTTTGTATGTGTGTCTACACACATGTACACATATGCACGCATACACATATTTGTGTAAATGTATTATTCAATGAAGAGGAAACTCAAGAGTATTTCTGTGTATATTGGGTGATGGAAAACTTGCCACAGACACCTGGAGGACTAGAGAAACAGAAACACAGAGAGTCAGAGCATAGAAAGAGGAAGATGGAGATGGAAAGAAGATGGAAGCAGGAGTCTGAGGAGAGGCCAGGTGAGATGGCTCAGTGGGTAAGGATGCTGTTCCCAAGGCTGATGAGCTGAGTGTGATCCCTGGGCTCCACAAGGCAGGAGGGGAGAACAGACTCCCAAAAGTTTTTCCTCTGCCTTCCACCCGTGTTACATGGCATGTGTTCAGAAGTGGGCATGTGTGTTTGTGCCCATCACCCACAAGCACATACATATACACATACATAGACACACACAGAAAAACACAGATGAACATGCATACGTACATATATACACTCTCCACAGAGAGGGAGGGAGGGAAAGAGGGAGGGAGGGAGAGAGGGATGGAGGAAGAGTGGGAGAGAGAGAGGGAGAGAGAGAGACAGAGAGAGACAGAGAGAGAGAAAGAGAGAGAGAGAGACAGAGAGAGACATAGAGAGACAGAAAATAAAAAATAGAAGTCTAGGGAGAACAGGTATGTTGACTAACATAAGTAGTCCCAGAACTTGGGAGGTTCAGACAGGTGAGTCTTGAGTTTGACTTCATCATGGCTTATACAGGAAGATTGTGTGTCAACCAACAAAATACAAATTAGCCAATCATAGCAGTAATAATGATAACAACAACAATATACATAAAAGTCCAGGCAAATATATGCAATATGATATAGGTACATGTCTGCCCCTAATAATCCTTCCAGCTAGACCCTACCCCCTAAAGGATCCACAGTCTTTAAAATAGCCCTGTAGTGTAGTGATATATTTTTTATGATTTATTAAAGCTTACTTGAGGATTCAGAAAGCAGTCAGTCACAGAGCACAGATGCCAGGTACACACCTATAATTCCAGCAGCCAGAAACTAGGAGGTGGTGGTAGACACCTTTAATCCTAGGGTTCAGGATTAAAAGATAAATCTCCAAGGTCACCCAGATCTACGCAAGATTGATCCAGTACTAAAGATAAAACAGCTCACACAAAGAAGATCTCAGCACCTGGGGTCACACGCCTTTAATTCCAGCATTAGGGAGGTATATAAGACAGGAGCAAGGTCTCAGCATCAGGCACTCATTCTCTTGCCACACTGAAGATAGGAAGGCTCAGTATCAAAGAGGATGGGAAGTCACTGAAGACTCAGAATTCTCCAGCCATGCTTAGGAGAGGTGGCAGTTTGAGGTTTGGTGAAGAGCTCCTGCGTGGATCATCCCTTTCAGCCTGCGCTTGAGCTGAGAGCTAGTGGCCAGCTGCTTTGCTTTTCTGATCATCAGCTTGAAGTTTGAACCCAATATCACTCTATGGGTTTTTTATTTTGTGTTGCACTCTAGATATGGGCCAAGAACTCAAAAATATGAGCCTGTGTGTCACATTTTAAATTCAAACCATAATAACTACTGAGTCTAACGGGTACCCTGAGATTGCTGTTGGTGACATGTCCTGTGTATTCAGAGAAATGGAAGCCACCTGGAAGTGGGTTTGCAGTAGTGAGGCTCAGTGATCCCCTGCACTGCAACAGAGTCCCTTTGAAAGCTTGGTATTGGAGCAAGGGTGCTGGGCAATCCTCACAGAAGCTCCTGACACCAGAGGCCAATGCTGGTTCATGTCTCACAGATGTGACAAATGAAACCCTACAGACACTGAGGGTAAAGTGACATGTGAAACAAGATTGTTTTAACCTAAATAATAATAATAAAAAGAACTGACAAGACAATGAATTGATCTTGATATGGAAGTCTCTGTAAGCAGATTATAAATTTGAAAACTAAAAAAAAAAAAAAACCAGTTACAGTTTATCACCAGGAAAAGGAGAGTGTCTGAGAGTGAGAGTGGTGAGAAGGTAGGATGACTAGGATGATCCAGATCAACCGTCAACAGGGATACACGTGGCAGGAAGGGCACAAAGACCAGCTTTCATTGTTCTGTTTTTGCTTAGGCTTGGCAAACCAGAGCCATGGGGGGGGCATGCAGCATGAGCTGTCAGTCATCACACGATTATTTGTCTGCCTTTGTTTTTTCTTCTCGGAACCAGGAAAGTCTTCAGCTGCATTGGGCAAGTGTTTGTCAGCAGACACCAGGCTTTCAGTAATGAAAGCCTTCAGGGTTGAAACCCCAATATGACTGCCTGGTGGGGTGCAGCCAACTACTGGTCTCATCAAGGGCTCAATAATGCATTAAGACCCCAGTGAGAATAACCCTCTGCTCAGCTAAACAGGTCTCAACATTAACCTCAGCTATTCCCTGGTGTCCTGGGTAGGCAACACATAAATCTTTGTTTTTAACCCAAAGTTCATGGTACATTATGATTTGTATTCAGTGCAGAGATTGGGAAAGGGGGACTTTGCTCTAGGAAAACTGGCCAAAGTAGGGCAAGATAGTGAGAGGTAGAAGGATGGGGAGGCCCTAGGGCCTGAAGACAATAGCCCTTAAATAGAGAGAAAGTACTTTGGGGGAGCAGAAGTTCAGACAGCAGAATTTGGCACCTTTGTAAATGGCAAAGTGCAAGAGACTTTGTGCTGCTCGGGTTGGAAACATTTGAGGAAATCAATCACAAGAACTATCAAGAAGATTAGGAGATGACCAACGAGTTAAGAGGCTTTGGGAGGATTCGCTGAAGGGCAGGTAAGCGTTTCCATACAAGGAGAAGCTTGCTCAGAGATCCAGGGACAGGAATCTCTTATGCCGCCACCCCATTTCTAGGACACACCCTATAGACAAACATTTTCACAGAGGTGGTGGAATCAAGCAAGTGTGGACTCCATACTGTCTGCAGAACTCCTGATCCAAAGAGAAAACTTTAGAAAACTGGCACTGAGAAACCCATGTAGCTCTGATCAATTCCCTAACTTCTGACTCAGACTGAAAATCCCACGAACATGCTTAGCTCTGCTTCTGCAGGCATTTGTAAAATTTCATATATAGCTATAATATATATCATGGTGTTTTTCATCAGTTGGCATCCTCTGTGGCTGATGTCAGAGACCTCTATGAGCTATGGTCTGAAAGCCATGGGATCAAATTTATTTGCTGAAATCTAATTTCTAATCCAATGCTATTAAGAGTTGTGACTCTGGAAAGATCAAGTGTATCATTATTCATTCCTTCTATTCAGTGAGGATGTAATATAAAATCTTTGAGTTAGAGGTCTAACTCTTACCACAAAGCAAATCTGATGGCATTTGACGTTGAATTTCTTGGTTCATAAATATGCATACACATTTTTAATTATTTGTGTCTTCTAGATACATATGAGATGTTGTTTTTGTTGTGTTGCTCATACTGACCTGAAACTGCTTGAATCATGAAACTTCCTGTCTCAGCCTCTGAATAGAAGGGGCCGCAGATACCTACTACAGAGCCTAGCTTGCAATCTGTGAACTTTTGGAATAACAGCCTGAAGAAATGAAATCATAGAACTTTGTTTTCAAATAAGAATGATCTGAGACTTGCTGAGAGAACATAGGATTTTGACACAGGCCACTCCATATAGTCAGTATTTCCAAAGCTTCTGTTTCATTTGAAGAATGTGTGGGGCTTGGGGAAGAGGAGAGAGGATGAAACCCATGATGAAAGGAAGGGAGGAGCCGGGTCCCAGTGGACTGTGAAAGAAGATTGGGGCACTTAGGGGATCACACATCTATATAGTCAAGGGAACATTTACCTTGTGGTTCTCATAAAGGGTATTCCCAGCTTGTTGAGAAATGAGTGACATACCAAGGGTTTGACATACATGCTGGCCAAATGGACAACTGTAAGGGATGGTTGGTTATGCACTTGTTGGATTTTAACCAGCATTCTAAGAATTTTAGGCTGACCCCACATGTGCTCAACCCTTCATACCATTCCTCTCACAGAGTACTACAACTCTTTGTGATTCTCCTGCCCCCTCTTTAGTTCCTGGATCTTCTTTGGCAGAGTGTTGGTCCAGAAATGCAGGTTTCTGGCCTTCAGGGCTCGGCCCACAGCAGGAAGGGTATCCAGCTGCAGGTACTGCTCATTGTGGTTAAACACAGGCCAGTAGGGTAGACCCTTACTGTTGGGGGTTCCTGTGGTTATACCACCCAACAAGGATGGTGAAGGTCATCTTTAACCAATGCATGATCCCTCACTCAGTGTTGGCCAATGGCTGAGGAGGCTCATGGGGCATGTGTCCTCACATCAGCATACAGGTGTCACCTATTAGTGTCTTCTCCATGTGGGTCAAGTCTACCTGCCCAATTTTATGTCTTCCTCTGGGAGTCCAAATCTAAAGAACAATACCATAACACCTGCCAGGTCACTGCAGTATGACCAGTAACTAATCCAATGTATCTAAGTGTGCCCTGGGATGATGAGGACTCTATCATGTGATGAGTTATCCATGCATGCTAATGAAGCCATCAACCACAAAAGGAGCCCTAGATAGGGACCCACCACTGAGGAGGTGGAGGGAGGGGGCATCCTCTCACCCATATCGTGCAAAGTTAGTCCAGTACTTCATCACCCTCCAGCTCAGCAGCTCCTCCTCCTCAGTGAAATCAGGTGTATCCATGGGGAAGACAAAGGTCCAGATTCCAGTCACCTGATGCAGCTGCCTAATCACATTCCACATTCACCACCCCTCCTGCAACCTGACCTTTAGGCCTCTTTCCCTTCCCCCTTCAAGATTCAGATCCAAGAGCCACCCACACCTCTAATTGAATGCCTCCAGGTTCAGTTATGTTCCAGTGTGTCTTCTTTCCATGTAGCATAGGTATGGTGACTGGAATGATATGCCTCCTCTAAACGCACATATTTGAATGCTTGGCGCCCAATTAGTGGAACAGTTTGGGAAGGATTAGGAGGAATGGATGTGTTGGATGAGGTGTATCACTGGAAGTTGACTTTGAGGTTTAAAAGTCCAGTCTACTCCAGTTAACTATCTCTCTGCATTGTGTTTGTAGATCAGGATGTAAGCTTTTAGTTAGCTATTGCTCCAGGGCCATGCCTGCCTGCATGCTGCTATTCTCCCCCTCCACGATGGTCACAGACTCTAACTAACCCTTTGAAAGTATAAATTCCAATAAATTCTTTCTTCTATCACTTTAATTGGTCCTAGTGCCTTATCACAGCAGATTCTAATCTGGATGTAACTTTTTTCTTTTCTTTTTATTAAAATTAGAAGCATGCATGCTTGAAATGTCAATCCCAGCCCCACCCCAATCCCCACCCCCTGCCCATTCCCCACAACTTTCCCCAGGGAAGGTGAGGCCCTTCTTGGGGGAATCTCCAGAGTCTGTCATTTAATCCAGGGCAGGACATAGGCCCTCCCCCCATGTGTCCAGGCTGAGAGAGCATCCCTCCATGTGGAATGGGCACCTAAAGTTCATTTGTATGCCATGGTGAACACTAATCTACTAAACTTTTTGAGTTACATACTTGATCATGGCCTTTCTCACAGCCTTGATTTTCTCAAAGGGACTAGGAGCTCACTTGCCCAACAGTTATCCACCTGGGGCCCCATCCAGCTCATGGAAACCAATGAAGACTCACGTTTTATGCTCCAGAAGGAGGGCCCAAAGACAAAGGGAACCTCGTCTCCATGGTCAGCTTTCACATGGGGTGGTCTGACATCTTTGAAGAAGTTGGTGTCATAACGGAACTCATAAAAGTAGACAGGGCCATGGGAATCTAGAGGTGAGGACACATAGCGATAGTGTTTTCTCACCTGGAGCTCTCCTGCCTAACCCTTGGTGACAAAATATGCTGATATAAAGTTATCTGATGTCATAATTTTCAGGTGAGTGGCTCTAGGCTGGATCACTAGTTATGGGAAAGCCTTTGGCTAAACAGCAACCATGCCATTCAAGTGAGTAGTTTTGGCAAATCAACAGACTATTAACAACAAGGTTTCTCATCTGTATCTGCATAAGATGTCTCTTACACTAGAATGAATAAATACCGATTTAATGGTCGTTGGGTATTTGGTACCAAAGACATGATCCAGACATGGGTAGGGACCTGAACACTATAGAACTCATCTAGAACCCATGACTCAGAGTTTCTCCCAACTTGGTCTCATTACAGATGTACTCACACTGAAAATTTGCAACTTGGAGTGTAGGGATAATGATCAAGAAGTCCCCCAACATTTTGTTGAACTGTATTTGGAGGGTCTGGGTGCCTTCAGTGTCCCCCATGTACTCTTCCATTGGCAGGTCACTACACTCAGGAGGTAACATCTACACCAGGATATCAGGGAGAATGAGGTTAGGCAGGTTTTGGTTTGGAAAGTCAACAGCCTCAGTGTGAAGAATAGAGAAAGGTATAAGTGCTGAGAACCTTGGTTTCTAGGCATGCTGTCTGAGAAGGATATATTGGGGGTCCTTTTTATTGGAGGCAGTAATGAAGATATCTCACCATCTGTGCTTCCATGCTCTTCAGAACAGCCTGCAGGGTCTCTCTTGTTATGTTCTTTATTGTTTTGTCAGTGCCTGTGATCTGGGAGACAGCAGACAGTTTTCAGTGTAAGGTGGGATGAATATGGATCAAGATTCCTCTACCCACCCTAAGAGTCTCCAGACTTTTAAAGATTTGGAACTGTCCCTCACCTCGGGTAGAAGCCAACCATATTCATCACTGTTGACACCAATAATGCTGGGGACAGGGTGAAAATCCACAGAAGCCAACAAATCTTGAGGATGCCTGGGTAGGAACTCCCCATCTACCACAGCAGGGATCATCTTGAAGACCTGATGGATATCCAAGGTCAGCGTTGAAGGTCAATTCCATACATATTCTTATATACACTGAGAAACCCTAACCATTACCCCTCACATGTCACTGTCTCAAGAGTAGGTCATGGGGGAACAGGAAGTTGAGTGGGTGGGGGTAGAATAGGGGAAGAGGGAATCATAGGTTAGAAGACAGATCAGGCACCAGAGTGACCTCTAGTGATCTAAAGGGATAACACCAATTGACAAGCTAAGCAATAGTGGAGAGACCACCTCGAATGCCCATTCCTGATAATGAACTTGATGTCTATAACCATCTGGGAGCCTCCATCCAGTGACTGATGGAAGCAGAGGCAAACACACAATTAAGCACTGAACTGAACCCAAGGAACCCAGTGGCAGAGAGAGAGGAGTGATGAGCAAATTGGCAAAGAATGGGCTGGCAAAACCAGCAGAGACAGCTGATCTGAACAGGGGAGAGCTCTTGGACCCCAGACCGTCAGCGGAGAGGCTAACATGGGACTGATCTGGACCCCCCAAATATGAGTGTCAGTGAGAAGGCCTGGGCAACCTATAGGGCCTTGAGCAGTGGATCAGTGTCTATCCCTGGAATACAAACAGTCATCGTGTGCCCATAGCACAAAGAGGGATGCTCTCTCAGCCTGGACTATTAGGGGAGTGCCTGGACCCTACCCGGAGTGAAATGACAGACTCTAGATATCCCCTATGTGGAAGGAATTGGCAATAGGGTGGGAGGCTGGAGGGGAAGGTGAATGCGGGAGGAGGGGAGGGAGAGGGAACTGGGATCAACATGTAAAACAAGCTATTTAAAATTAAAATAAAAAAGAAAGATAAAGTAATATTTAAAAAAAAGATACAGAGAGTCTCCGTATCTGAGGATATCTTGGTGTTCATTGTGTGCACATGATTAAAAGGATACCAAACCATGGATCAGAAGTATTCGTTTAGAGTAGTAAGTGCCAGCTCTCCCACATCTCATTGACCAGGTCCTCCAAGTCACACAGATCTTCCAACCTTGTTAATAGCCAGAATCTCCTCTTCACTCTTGTTTCTCAGACAGTGCACCAGGGTCTCTGAGTCCACAGCCTCACAACCAGATAAGTTGGCCACTGTCTGTAAAGGGACCAGGCAGGAGTTGATTAATCCTTTTAGGCAAGCAGAAGAGTTTTCTCAATCCCAGTTGAATGGCATTGTGTCCAAATATCACATCACACCTTGGACTGGTGGATTAGCTTAAGCTGGATATTTCCATTTTGTTATTGCTCAGATGTGACAAATAGAGGGGCCATTCTACCTAAATACTTTAAAATGTGATTTGTTTCAAAGATTAGAGGTCTCTAGTTCTCATTTTCTATTTCGCTTGAGAAATGACCTTTTGTTTTTTCTTTCTGCCTACAAGAATCAATCTAAGTTGTGACCCTCCAGATATTCTCTGGTCTCTTTCTCCCATCTCACCATTGTTATATTATTAGGATTACACACTAGTCACCACATGCAGCTTTTTGTGGCTTCTGGGGGGGAATTTGAACTCAGATCTTTATGCTTTTACTTATTGAACCATATCTTCATCCTATACACATATTTGTTTCCAGAAAGTAATGGACACTGCAAGGTACTTATGCACAATACTTACACCCAGCCTGTATAAAGTAGAGGGAAGTAGATTCTAGCCCTTGGATATCTCAGAAACTACTGAAAGAAGCTCCTTGATTTCTCAATTGAGAAAACTCCCAGTGTATCAGATGGCTGGGGCTGAGGCTCTAGGGTCATCTGTAGGATGGGTGAAGTGACTCACTGTGTAGACCACGTCAGAATTGTTGGAGATAAGTACAGGTACCAGGGTCACCCCACTCTCCATGATGGCTCTGTGGAAGAGTCCTTGGGACATGGGGGACACAACAAGTGAAGACACACTTGTGGCTTCTGCAGACTCCCCAAAAATGGCGACACAGTCAGGGTTGCCTCCAAAATGGGCGATATTCTGCCTGACCCAGCGTAGGGCAGCCACTTGGTCCAGGTAGCCCCAGTTTCCTCTGGCATGCTGATCTCCAGAGCTGAGAAGTGGAAGGGATAAGATTCACAGGGCTCTCTTTATTCTCCTCAGGCACCATAGCCCAGGTCAGCCCAGCTCCAGACTCACCTGAAGAAGCCTAGGATACGCAGGTGGTACTGGATAGTGACCACCACCACATCCTCCATGGATGCCAGCATGGATCCATCATGCACAGAAGCCATGCCCGTTACTAGTGACCACTATGGATCCACACCTGTGGAAATCAAGTCAGATGACCGGAGTTTTCTACCCAGCACACACTCCACTTGGGGTATCTTCTACTTTACCTAGTGCTTTGTCTCAGTGTGCATAGACACACAGACATAATTTCTCAGAACATCCTCACTTGGGCCACAAACAGGGTCCTAGTACCATCAGTATACTTGCTCGTCTCTCTACTTCTCTAAGTTTCCAAACCTATATTAATGTCTCCAAATATGGAGTAATGACAAACTCACTCTCAGACTCCTTTGAAATGAAAAGGGGTGTTTTCATCAGTGACTCTCCTGATTATCAACAACAACAAAGAAATCATTGGCACATAGCTGGTCGTGGTGATATATGTCTTTAACACTAGGTTTCTGGGACCAGGTAGGCTGCCTGTGGACATTTCCCACTCTCTATTACCCTGGAGTCTCATGGTTGTCCCTATCACTGCAACAGAACACTACCTGAAGCTTCCCTTCAACCTGTCTACAGACAGGTGAAACGAATACTCGAGAATATTGCCTTGATAAAGAAAGAGCCTGATTAAGCATAGGGTGCTCCGAGAACACCCTTTTCTCCAAAACTTCTTTGGTCACAGTTCACTGAGTCTGCATTCAGGTCCCTTCTGCTTTACAGTGGTGATCATAAGTCCACACATACCCTCTCTGTGAAGCCATGGCTGTTTCAGTGAAACTCACTGCAATTGTGGCAATGTAGTGTGTTTTTTATTACATGATAATGTTTATTATGACACTTATACTTTTATGTAATGTTTTTAATCTCACTCACCCCTAGATACTCTCACTTGTCTTCTTCCAACTCTCAGCAATGATCCCCTTCCCTCCCAATATTCTACTTTACATTTTCAAATACTTTCATTTTTAATTTTTAAGTTTTATGTGTAAGGTTTTACCTACATGAATGGAGAGGCACTTTGTGTGATCCTGATGATCACAGAGTCCTGGATTCCCCTGGAGCTAGAGTGATGATTATGAGCTGCTATGTGGTTGAATGGAACCCAGTTCCCTGCAAGAGCAGCAAGTGCTATTAGTCACTGAGCCATCTCTCCAGCCCCGATTATGCTTCGATGTTTCTCTCTTTCACTTCTTCCCTTCCTACCCCTCCTCTGATTCTTTTTTTTTGTTTTACAATTTTATTTATTTGTTACATATAGAGTAACAAGCCAGAAGAGGGCACCAGCTCTTATTTCATATGGTGTGAGCCTCCATGTGGTTGTTGCAAATTGAATTCATGACCACTGGAGGAGCAACCAGTGCTCTTAACCTCTGAGCCATCTCTTCACCTCCTGGTTCATTATTTTTAGGCAGATGTGACCTATTTTATTCATAAGTACATGTGCCACCAGGTACATGCTAGTAGGCACCCAGGCAAAATGGGACTCAAGATGAAGCACAGAGGTTACAGTTAGGCCACACATATAAGCAGGCTGTTGAAGACATATGCACCATAATTGTTATTTATGTTTAGCCACAGGGTTTGTTACCTTTTGTCTGTTAGTCATTCTCATCTTGCTTCCTCTGCATCTGGCTGGTGACTGTATCTTTGCCTTCCTCTTCTCAGAATTCTCCTAGTCTGCTAGGCCCTCCCATAGTTCCTGCCAGGCTACTGGCCAATCTGCATTTTATTAAACTAATATAAATGGAAAATCTTTATATTGTACAAGAACATTATCACACATCAATACAGGTGTTTCATTTGCTTGGTTAGTGTTATCCCAAGATATTTTTTATTATTTGTGGCTATTGTGGAGGGTGCTATTTTCCAGATTTCTTTCTCAGTTCATTTGTCTTTGGTATATAGGAGGGCTATTTACTTTTTAAAAATTAATCTTATATCTAGCCATTTTCCTGAAGGTGTTTATCACCTGTAGGAGTTCCCTGGTAGAATTTTTGGGGTTGCTTATGTATACTACTGATGGGGGAAGTCCTTCTGTGTGTATGTTTCTCTTTTTGGTTAATGAATAAAACACTGATTGACTTATTTGCCTGGCAGGAAGTGCCATAGCTGGGCAGAATAAGAATATAAGCAGGGACAAACAGGAAATCGCTCTCTTCTCTCCTCTCCTCTCCTCTCCTCTTCTCTTCTCTTCTCTTCTCTTTAGAGATGCTGAACATACATGATGTAGACCCCAAAGAATTAAGAGGCCTGGACCTTTTCTCTGGTAAGAGAAGACAATGTGTAGATACTTAGATTTATAGCAATTGGTTGTTGATGACCCTTTGGGTGAGATATGAGTCCCAGGGGCTTTTCTAGCCCTCCCCCCTCTTCGAGATCCCTGATCCATGGCCACCAGATCCTTCCTGCCACCAAACCCCAAAGAGGGACCCAAAGACAGAACAAAGCATTCCACTTCATCTGCCGCCATTCCGGTCTTGCCCCTCCATTTTCTGGTAGAGAGAGAGGGAAGGACCTAGAGTTGGAGAGAGAGAGAGAGAGACAGAGCGAGAGAAAGATAGAGACAGAGACACAGAGAGAGACAGAGAAGAGTATAGAGCCTTGAAACCATACCCATCAGGAGAGGGAGAGACCCCATCTATACCCTCTGAAAGAAGAGATAGGAAGATGACAGTATAAGAACACATCCAACAATAGAAAGACTTACATGACACCACCAGAGTCTAGGGACTCTACACCAGCAAGACCTGAACATCCCAACGCAGATGAAACAGAAGAGAATGACCTTAAAAACAACACCATGAAAATGATAGAGGCCCTCAAAGAGGATATGAGAAAATCTCTTAAAGAAATGGAAGAAAAAACAAACCAAAAATATAAAAAAAATCAACAAATCTCTTAAAGGAAACAAGGAAAGCCAAGAAAAAACAATCAAATAGATGAAGGAAACAAATCAAACAGTTCAAGATCTGAAAACTGAAATAGAGACAATAAAGAAAACACAAGCTTAGGGAATTCTGGAAATAGAAAAGCTGAGTAAATGACCAGGAGCTACAGGGGCAAGCATAACCAACAGAATACAAGAGATAGAAGGCAGAATATCAGGTGCTGAAGATAAACTAGAGGAAATAGGCTCATCGACCAAAGAAAATCTTAAGTCCAATAAATCCTTAACACAAAATATTTGGGACATATGGGACACTGTGAAAAGACCAATCCTAAGAATAATAGGTATAGAAGAGGGCAAAGAAGCACAGCTTAAAGGCGCAGAAAAACATATTCAACAAAACAATAGAAGAAAACATTCCCAACCTGAAGAAGGACATGCCTATGAAAGTACAAGAAGCTTACTGAACACCAAAGAGACTGGACCAAAAAAAAAGGCTCCTTGCCACATAATAATCAAAACACCAAGCATACAGAATAAAGAGAGAATATTAAAAGCAGTGAAGGAAAAAGACCAAGTAACATATAAAGGCAGACCCATCAGAACTACAATTAATTTTCCATGGAAACTCTGAAAGCCAGAAGGTCCTGAATAGATGTTCTACAAACACTAGGAGGCCGCAGATTCCATTCCAGACTACTATATTCAGCAAAGCTTTCAATCACTATAGATGGAGAAAACAAGATATTCCATGACAAAACAGATTTACCCAGTATATATCCACTAATACAGCACTACAGAAAGTTCTGAAAGGAAAACTCCAACCCAAGGAAATTAACTACACTCATAAAAACATAGGCAACAGATAATCTCACTTTACCAAAAGCCAGAAATAGGGGAAAAACTCACACACAATACCACTACCACCAAAAAAATCCAAAACAAAGAATAATCAAAAATCAGTGGTCATTAATATCCCCCAATATCAATGGTCTTAACTCACTTATAAAAAGACACAGTCTAACAAAATGGATAAGAAGACAGAATCCATTCTTCTGTTGCATACAAGGAATACACCTCACCTTCAAAGACAGATGTTACCTGAGAGTTAAGGGTTGGGAAAAGATTTCCCAAGCAAATGGACCTAAGAAGCAAGCAGGTGCAACTATCCTAATATCTAAAATTAATCAAAAGAGTTGAATAAGGTCATTTCATATTAAACACAGGAAAAATCCATCAGGATGAAATCTCAATTTTAAACATCTATGCACGAAATACAAAGGCACCCACATTCATAAAGAAACATTACTAAAACTCAAATCACAATTAAACCCCACATACTTAGAGTGGGAGACTTCAATACCCCACTCTCACCACTGGACAGTACTACCAGATAGAAACTTAACAAACAAACAATGGAACTAACAGAAGTTATGACCCAATTGGGTTTAACAGACATCTATAGAACATTTCATCCAAAACACAAAACAATGTACCTTCTTCTTAGCGCCACATGGAATGTTCTCTAAAATCGACTATACTTGGCTATAAAGTAAACCTTAACAGCTACAAAAAACTGGAATAACCCCCTGTATCTTATAGGACCACCATGGTTAAACGTTAGAATTCAACAACAACACAAATTGCAGAAAACCCACAAACTCATAGAACTTGAACAATGCTCAATTGCATCACTCCTGGGTAAAAGAAGAAATACAGAAAGAAATCAAAGCTTCATAGAATTCAATGAAAATGAAGGTGCAACATACACAAACCTATGGGACACTCTGAAAGCAGTTCTAAGTGGAAAGTTCATAGCACTAAGTGCCCACATGAAGAAACTGGAGAATAGCCACACTAGAGAATTAACAGAACACCTGAAACTCTAGAACAAAAAGAAACAGACTCACCTAGGATGAGTAGACTCTAGGAAATAATCAATTTGAAAGCTGAAACCAATAAAGTAGAAACAAAGAAAACAATACAAAGAATCAATGAAAAAAAGAGTTGGTTCTTTGAAAAAAATCAACAAGATAGACAAACCTTTATCCAACCTAACCAAAAGGCAGAGAGAATATGAAAATTAACAAAATCAGAAATGAAAAGGGGGACATAACAACAGACACTGGGGAAATCCAGAGAATCATCAGGTCATACTTTGAAAGCCTGTACTCCACAACATTGGAAAATTTAAAGGAAATGGAAAAGTTTCTGGCTAGATATCACTTACCAAAATTAAATCAAGAACAGATAAATATTTTAAATAGACCTATAAGCCCTAAGGAAATAGAAGCAGCCATCAAAAGTCTTCCAACAAAAAAAGTTCAGGGCCAGATGGTTTCATCTCAGAATTCTACCAGAAATTCAAAGAAGAGTTAACACCAACACTCTTCAAATTGTTCCACACAACAGAAGCAGAAGGACACTGCCACACTCTTTTTAAGAGGCTACTGTTACATTGGTACCCAAACCATAACTAAGATAGAGATCTACAGACCAATCTCCCTCATGAACACTGATGCAAAAATGCTCAATAAAATACTGACAAATCGAATCCTTGAACACATCAGAAAAATAATCTACCATGATCAAGTAGGCTTCATTCCAGCGATGCAGGGATGGTTCAACATATGAAAATCCATCAATTTAGCCCACCATATAAACAATCTGAAAAAGAAAAACCACATGATCATCTCCCTAGATGCTGAATAAGCCTGTGACAAAATTCAACACCCCTTCATGATAAAGGTCTGGAGAGATCAGGGATAACAGGAACTTACCTAAACATAATAAAGGCAATATACAGCAAACCAACAGCCAACATCAAACTAAATGGAGAGAAACTCAAGGCGATTCCTCTAAAATCAGTAATAAGACAAGGCTGTCCACTCTCTCCCTGTCTCTTCAATATTGTACTTGAAGTTCTTGCTAGAGAAATAAGACAACAAAAAGAGATCAAGGGGATACCAAATTGGAAAGGAAGAAGTCAAACTTCAACTGTTTGCAGATGATATGATAGTCTTTGTAAGTGACCCAAAGAATTCTACTAGGGAACTCCACATTCAGCAAAGTGGCAGGATACAGGATTAACTAAAACAATCGGTAGCCTTACTATGTATAGACAATAAATGTGCTAAGAAAGAAATCAGAGAACCATCACTCTTTACAATAGTCACAAACAACATAAAATATCTTGGGGTAACTCTAACCAAGCAGGTCAAAGACCTGTGTGACAATAACTTTGAGTCATTAAAAAATATTAAAGAAGATGCCAGAAAATGGAAAGATCTCTCATGCTCTTGGATAGGTAGAATCAACATAGTAAAAATGGCAATTTTATCAAAAGCAATCTACAGATTCAATGCAATCCCTATCAAAATCCCAGCACAATTTTTCACAGACTTTGAAAGGACAATTTTCAACTTTATATGGAAAAATAAAATACCCAGGATAGCCAAAACAGCCCTGTATAAGTAAAGGAACATCAGGAGTCATCACCATCCCTGACTTGAAGCTCTACTATAAATGTATAGTAATGAAAACAGCTTGATATTGGCACAAAAATAGATAGGTAGACCAATGGAATCAAATTGAAGACCCTGATATTAACCCACACACGTATGAACACCTGATCTTTGACAAAGAAGCTAAAACTATACAATGGAAAACAGAAAGCATCTTCCACAAATGCTGGCATGTAGAAGACTGCAGATAGATCCATATCTATCACCATGCACAAAACTTAAGTCCAAATGGATCAAAGACCTAAACATAAATCCAGCCACACTGAACCTTTTTGAAGAGAAAATGGGAAGCACCCTTGAGTGAGTTGGTACAGGAGACCACTTCCTGAACATAAAACCAGTAGCACAGACACTGAGATTGTCAATTGATAAATGGGACTTCCTGAAACTGAGAAGTTTCTGTAAGGCAAAGGACACAGTCAACAAGACAAAACGACAGAATGGGAAAAGATATTCACCAATTCCACATCTGACAGAGGACAGATCTCCAAAATTTATAAAGAACTCAAAAAGCAAGTCTCCAAAACACCAAATAATCCAATTAAAAAGTGGGATACATAACTAAATAGAGAATTCTCAGTAGAGGAGTCTAAAATGACTGATAGCCACCAGTGAAATGCAAATCAAAACAACTCTGAGATACCATCTTGTTCCTGTCAGAATGGATAAAATCAAAATCTCCAATGACAATTTATTCTGGAGAGGATGTGGAGAAAGGGGAACACTCCTTCACTGCTGGTGGGAGTGTAAACTTATATAACCACTTTGGAAATCAGTATGGATATTTCTCAGGAAAATGGGATTCAGTCTACCACCAGGTCCAGCAATTCCACTCTTAGGCATATACCCAAAAGATGCACATTAATACAACAAGGACATCTGTACCACTATGTTCAAAGCAGCATTACTTGTAATACACAGGACTTGGAAGCAACCTAGATGCCCCTCAGCTGAAGACAGGAAAGAGAAAATGTGGTACATTTGCAAAATGGAGTACTACTCAGTGGAAAATAAACAATGGAATCTTGAAATTCGCAGGCAAATGGATGGAACTACAAG